TCTCGGCCAGGGGTCCCAGGGGACTCACTCACTCACCTCCATCCAAGAGCACCAGGGCAGCCAAGACCAGGAACGGAGCTGTCTTGCCCACAAACTCATACAGCACACTCCCAAAGGGGGGGCCCACTGCGAGGAAGACGGAGAGGGGCTGGCACCAGGCCGGGACTGCCGACCACCCCTCGACCAGAACCCTCCTCTTTGTGCTTCTCCCTCCATGCACGCTCAGTCGTGTCCGACTCTTTGCGACCCCATGGACCGTAGCTCACCAGGATCCTCTGTCCACGGAATTTCCCAGGCAAGAATACCGGAGTGGGGGTTGCCATTCCCTACTCCAGGGGAGCTTCCCGACCCAGAGAGCAAACCCTCCTCTCCTGCATCTCCTGCATCGGCAGGCAGATTCTTTACCGCAAACGTCCCCTGGGAAGCCCCCTACTTGGTTCCAGACAGTATGTGAAAGGACCACCCTACATTCTGTTCAGGAGTGTTAAACCACCCTGGCGACTCCTCTAAGTGGTTTTACACCTGAGACATGGGCAAGAGCCTATGAGGGAAACCCCACAAATAAAGGTCAGAGAGAAATAAGGCCCAGGCACAGACATGCATAGCAAAACAGGCCAGGGAGGGCTGCAGGGTCCTTACGAAGCAGCAGACAGGGAGGGGCTGTGGGCTCCCAGACGAAGGTCAGGAAGGTACAGAGGAGGCAGGTGACCTGGATCTGTCAGGGAAGGTGCCTGTTCCTGGTCTGGGAGCTCAGCCAGGGCAAGTCGGGGAGGCAGGCTCAGAAAGAGGGAAGGTCCTCAGGTGGGATGGAAACTCAGAGAATGTTCTAGGGCAGGGACCTTGGCAGGGCATCCTGTTCAAGACTCGTTTTCATCTGGATCGGGAAGAGAGGACTGGGGAGCCCAGAACTGCCCAGGTCAGGACACGTCCCATTTTTCAAAGACTCCATGAAAGCAGGGAGGAAACAGAGGACAGTAGAGTGAAAAGGGGCTCACTGTCCAACACAGGATAGACCCTTCCCTCTACTGTGGCCCTCACCCACCTAGGACCCCCATGGCCAGGCCTCCCAGGGCGATCCCCATGGCGTTGCCTCTCTCCTCGTCATCTGTGTACACGCTGGCCAGCATGCCCATCCCTAATCAGAGAAAGAAACGGTGACAGCCAAGCTCTGGAAGCAACAGAATTATCTTCATGACTCACAACCCCGCCCACCCCCAGCCCAGACTGTGGTCTTCCCATACCTGCCAGACCAACAAAACATAAGGTCAAGCAACATCCAAAAACCCACCACTCACCACCACCGATACCCTAATTGCCTGAATTATTCCAGCTCATTCTGTAAAGGGTCGCCAGCCAAGGCAGTGCCCATGGTCCTTCCACAGACCAAAGCCCCTGGGGCACGGACTTGGTCAGTTCCACACTTACCAGCTACAGATGAGCAGGAGGAACCGATGCCCTGCAGGGACCTGGCGATCAGCAGGAAGGCATAGCTGCGGGAGAAGGCGAACACTGCGGAGAGAGTGGCCAGGCCACGGTCAGTGTAGACCCAGCTGGCATGGTGACCAAATATGCTCAAACAGGACCCTTCTGAAGGCTTCCCTTAACCAGATGGGGGTACTTCTGGATTAACCACATCATGCTCTGGCTCTCTGAAGACCTCACCCACCCTGAAGACCCTCACCCCTTTCTGCAGTTGTTGCCAACATACCTACCCCCGCCCTCATCCCAGCTGTGTTCTCAATTCCCAGTTGGTAGTGGTCAGAGCCCACCCGGTGACCCAAACATGGAAGGCAAACGCCAGACACTTACTAACTGTTGAGATAAACATGATGCAGAATCCTGTGAACATGGGAATTGGGTAGCCAATTCTGCAAAACAGAACCACAGAGAGAACCTAGTGACTGCTCCATATTTTTTTTTTTTTTAAGC